ATCACTCTCAAAACGGCTGTACCACACTTGCATCGAATCTAGAATAAGATACGCTATCGCTGTATAAGGAACCGCATCTCTATACGCTGTTAACAAACTTCAGATAGCACAAAATCGTTACATGGGTTCAATTTATAATTTAAACTTTATGGAATCAGTATCCGAACTCTACCGCACCGAAAATATTGACAAGATTAGTGATATTTACAGAAAACAGATTCTATTGGAGGGCTTCAAATATATAAACGGAAAAAAAGGCCAACCTGGCCACAGTGTCTTTTGAGAAAATAAATAAAAATAAATAAATTACATTGTTTCAATGTTTTCGAATGCACATATTTACTTATATATTAAGTAGAACGAATGAAACTGTTTATGAAGTTTTACTTCTAGTCTCGATTACAAGTGTATAGTCTTATTATAGTAGACAGGCAGATAAGATTTACGTGTTAAAAAAAACTTGGTCCAGGAAAGCGCCAACTAACAAAGGAGATAATACTGTCGTGTTTAGGAAGAAGTAAGCTTAATATAATGTAGCAATTTAATTTCAGAATAGAACAAGTTTCATAATTATTTAGTAATTCATCGAAATTAATACCATTATTAACACAAATTTTCCTTAAACTTTCCTACTTCGCTCACTGTAGGCTGAATCCATATAATAATTACTTTAATCAGTAAAATTTTGTATTCACGATTAGAGGAACATTTATATTTTGAAACAAAAGGCAACATTTTTATATTACGAAAATGTTCATTCTTATTAATAAGAAAATTATAAATAGATATCAAAGATATTAAATTTGAAACCAAAATGATAAATTCTACTCCAAGCATGAAAAAATTGGTGTATGTGTAAACATTGTATAATAAATTAATAAAACTACACAAAAAAAAACACTTCATTACAATTAAAATGATAATATTATGAAGAGTAAAAACGTTTTTGTTGTAATTCATTCCTAATAGTGCCATACTTTTCAGCAACGGTTTCCAGGATTTCAATATCTCTTCACCGATATCTTCTGTATTACTGCGAACCTTCACAAGTGTAGTTAACTTCGTGTCTGGAATCTAAAATATAAATATTTAACATTAAATTCTTGTATTATAAACGTAACGACATTTATCCAGATATATATATTTAAATACTTCGTGTAATAGGAGCACTGCATTACCCTACTTTCTTCCAAGAATTTTTCATTTTTCTCTTGGTGTTCTTAGAGTTTTGCTTTCTAACGTCTCCAGTTTTTGATTTTCTGCTGTACAAGTCGACCCCCCAAAACACTGTCGATTATTCCGTTTTATGTGAATTCCGTGTTGTATGAGTCACTTAGATTTTACAAATTCGTGTGCCGGGCTGTGAATGGCTCACGCATTTGTAAAATCTAAGTGACTAGTACAACACGGAATTCATATAAAACGGAATAATTAACAGTGTTATAGGGGGTCGACTGTATTTGTTAGAATTTGTAAATGTTTTATTATGTCTACCCAATTGTCGCCATTTAATATTGTTTAAAATATTAGAAACGAGTGAGATATTCAATGGCACTGGTTTGTTGAACTTATTTTAGGTGAGCGTAATCATCTTTCAACTTCATATTGAATTCTGATTATTTTTTGTTGGCCTAACAGCATATAAATCAAAGAAAAAAATCAGGAGTTTCAAAGCTCCTGTATCTGTAAATATCTGTAATTTGTACACATAATTATTGAAAGTAACAATTCAAAATAAAAGTGTACTTATCTTCAGTTTAAATTCCCAAAATTTTCTAAAAAAATCCCCTAAAACAATACCAGAATAATAGAAAGAAGCTCTGTTTCTGAAAGAGACCATTACTTGATTATAGACTTAAGAGGACATTTGCTATCTAGCTACTATTGTGCACTCAAGATTTAATTTTGAAGGAGCCGAGTTGTACTGATTAAAAGTATTTAATACGAATACAATAAAATACCAACCATAAGTGACCACTAATTCATAAGTAATATGAAAATAGAAGACAAGCCACAATATAAATAAATAGAACAAATGAATATTAATAAGGAAAAATATTTACTAGTTTTCTCTTAATTTGAGTGGTGTCAGGACCTCTTTCACCCTATCCGGGTGGCTATAACAATCATACATTTACAATTACTTTCTGTTTTATAGATTATAAATTAGTAATGTTAGAGATGATAGTTGTTATTCGAAATATAATAATTTAGTACATTTTAAGGCTACCTTTTCCATCGATATAAGTATAGCTTCAATTTCTAGCGAAATAATTTTACAATTTTTAAGTTATTATAAAGGTTTTATCAGTTGAAATGTCTCGTACTCACCTTCCACATTCTTTTCTGTCTTATCTTTTTGTAGAAGCTTAAGCATTGAATTTAGATGCGCTTCTAATTTTTATCTTTTAACGAAGATAAATGTATTTTCTTTACAAATCTTATAATGATTCCAACAGTTATAATAGGTGTTACTGCAACTGCACAATGGCTTCAGTTTCTATTTCAGTTTGACAGTAATGACGTATAAATCGATTTAATGTGTCAACAATAGCACTTCTCTAAATTAAAACTTCATCGATTTCTAATGAATTTTTAATTATGTATATTTTCTTCTACCAAACCTTCTTTCATCTAAAAATAATAGTGATTATTTTTAGGTAAAAGAAATTGTCGACAATATCTTCAATATATTTGCCATATTAATTCCTGCTTACTATAAGCGAAATGTAATACGAAACGAAGGTCCCCAACATGAAATATTTAAATACAGAAATATAAAGAGGTAACCAAATTATGTTTATCAAACGGTAAGCTCGAGATGGTGTTATAATCAAGTCTGTTTTAATCAAAAGTCCAATTGGTAAAAGATATTTTTATTTTAAAACGACAGGGTAAAAAATATAATAAACATTTAATTATCAAAGTCGAATTTTGACTTAAACACATCACAGTAACATTCAAAACATTTAGTAGAAACTTCCTTGTTTTAAAGACTTTAAGAACATGACAAATAGAAAAAAAATAAGACAAACAATTAAAAAAATTAAATAAAAAATACATCGCCACATAAAAATGTCGAGAAAAATTCGTACAATTTTGACTACTTACCTCTTATCGACATGTGATGACAATCCCGAAGACGTTATGACTGCTCTTTCTTATAACAATACTTCTGTAGTAGACTTTGCCAAATGACATCTACCTTCATACTTTTATTTAAATTAATCGAATTTAACTGTTATAATAATTCAGTTCGTTTCTAAAACAGTTTTTTTATATAGAATTTTTTCAATCGTAACATTCTTTCTACTTATCGTACAACCGTGTCCGCGCAACACAAAAACTAAGGGTACTGTCTATAATCTAATCTAATTGACGTCACGTGTTCCTTCAATCTCGTACGTAACTTTCTCCTCGTTTCACCAATAAAATTATCGTTTTCCTTACCTGTACTACTTAGTTTATACACTATACACTCCCCAAAGTCTCAAACTTACTTTGTATGCAGTGAAGACTTACTTGTATTTTTTAATTATCTTTTGCATTTTCTGTATTACGTTAACGGTATAATTTTTTCAGTTCTGTTCTCTGCATAATTGACAATGCAAGTTAATTACATCCCGAAAAATTGAACGGAGAGTACACTATATCATACAAGGCATACCAGTAATGTTGCTAAGCAAAACTGCAGAACAACTCTATGATCCTGCATTGAAACCAAGACCGTTGGGTGTTGCAGAGTACTCGACAAAAACTGCCAAGATGTGTAATACATGCAATCGTTTGATTTTTCAGTCATCTCACTGTCATAAAAACAACAATATTCAAATCGTGCAATAACCAAAAAGATTAATTTGAAATTAACATCTATTCGTTCATATTATTTTTTAAGTGTTTCACTTCATTTCCTAGTAGAAGCTATTTTACACTAGGAAATGAAATAAAACATATATATACATATGAAGCTAATTGTTGTGTTTTATTTTATATTATACGTTAATTAAAGTATTTATTAAAGGGGTCATTTACTAACCCTCATGGTCGTCAGTGTTTCAAATTTTGTCGAAAGTTTATGACAGATTTGATTTATTCATATCCGCCATCGATAAACATTAAAAAGGAATGTCTTAAGGAAAATGTTTTTTCTGCAGAAAATTGGTCTTTACTTGGTTGCGAGACAAGTGAAGAAAATCCGAAAACTTCCACGTCGGTAACCACGTGCTCGATGGTTTAATCCACTCGGACACTGAGCACTTCTTTTATATATAACAGAGCCACTTGTCAAGATTATAATAAATACAAAGGCGTTAGTGTTTCGTCCGGAAAAATAAAAGTTTGTTCGCTGTAAAGAGACGTATTCTTTTGAACCATTTTCATATTCCTTCTGTCATATATAACGGAAGAAAAACAAATAATGATGGGTAAAGACCCAGCAATTCCCAAAATTTTGCATACATTTTTCGGAGTCGGGAGATCGTTAATCGTCGAGAAATGGCAAAACTTCGGGTTTGTTTTGTACGTGTAAAAGGGCAGAAATTTGTTCACTTTGGTGCAAACGATTCCTGTGCGTTTATCGAAAATGTCTATAGTTTTGCATAGAAGTTTGGGTACTGCCAGATTGATGCTATTTAATTTTATTAGTTAAAGGTTGATGGTGTGAGGTGATAGAAATGTCTCGAAAAGGGTCGGGCCTAACAAAGATTTTCATCGTTATTCTTATCATATAAAACTCATTTATACCCAGAAAATAGAGTTTTTCGACATTTTATAAGAAATTGTTTTGTATCTTTTATATAAAAGATTTTCAATAAGAGGTTGTAAATGTTAACGAGAAAGTTAAGAAACTCCTTACTAGATTTTAAATTTTCTTTTTATACACAATTACGTGTATGACAACATTTCATATAAATCGATAAAACAACATAAATTTTAATGCCATTTTTTAAAACAATGTTGTCGATGTAACAATTTCCAATTGTTTCAATTGTTGAAGCGAAATGAAACGTTCTTTCGAAAGTGTACGTTTGCGATTTTCTAGTAAGAAAATGAAAAGAGAGAGGTAAATTTAATCAAAAGTAATGTTTACGAATGACATTTCTTTGATATTAATTTAAAATTTCATCAATTTAGTTATGATAGAAGTGATGGCGCTGAACCAGACGGTCAGCAAAATCAGAATTATTGGATTCATAATGTAAGTTATTCAATTACATTTACGAATTTTTTGATTAAAAGTCATTTAATAAGTCTTTACTCGATTTTGTAATATGAATTAAGAGTAACAAATATTATTACTTTGACTTTCCGTAGAAATACAATGATTCGCCCGACAATGAGTGTTTCTCCGCTTACAAAGGAGATTCACGATTCGAGGTGAGCGAGCCTAAAAATTTGAAGGATTTAAACAGTTTTTCAAAAGTTTATTTTGTAAACTGTTGCGCTGTTGTTGCGTAAAAGGAGAAACTTCCGATTCACCGGTAACACTCGAGTTTCTTTGCTTTTCCCTGTTTTCAATTAACGAACTTTGCAACTAGAAATATTTTATAATTGTAGAAGTGCGAATCGGAGGGTTTTCAATCTGGAATTGAACGTCTAATCAATACAAAAGACAAGTACAAATTCCAAGAAATTGGTGAAGGATCTTTTGGCACAGTCTATGTGGGTCGGTCTAAAAGTTCTGACAAAGCGATCGCTGTCAAAGCCATCAAGAAACAGCGGTTTTTCCTAAATCAGGTATGCATTGAGCATTGTTTTCCATATTCTTTTTATCTATGGTGCTAAAAAACGATAAAATGTCTGTAAAGGAGTTGGTAGAATCCAACAATGTATTACTGTACTTTATTTCATCTTTGGCACATGAAGTATGTACAATCGACTGAAGAAACACAGTTCATTTATATAATAATGTTGTTGTTAATACTTTTGAAAAATATTCTATAAACAACTAATAGATAATATATTAATTTCATATTTTGCATATATTAATTATTTATTTCAGCAATTCAATATTGACAAAGAAGGAGTTGCTTGGCGCCGAGTATCCAGTCATCCTCACATTGTCAGTTTTATTGGTCTCTTCGAAACTGATATTAGGTAAGCTTTACTTTCTTTGATATTACTGATTTGTAATATCTTATGTGCTTCGAGTAATAAACTATTCGTGTTTTTTCAGTCACTGTTTCGTCTGTGATTATGTGAGTGGAGAGAATTTGACCGACTTTTTAGAAATAAATGGAGTATTATCGGAAACCCAAACTAAGACGATCGGTGCACAACTTGCTTCGGCCATTATTTATATTCACGATAAAGGTGCTTTATCTAAATATATTTATACATATAAATTTTCTTACGTATGAACGGTGTGACAAATTATTTTACTCTCTCGGATAGAAATAATTCACAGAGATATAAGCTCAAACAACATCTTAATAGATAAAGCCAATGGAGCACAATTGATAGACTTTGGCCTGTGCACAGTAAGTATTGTACGCCTCTTAATTTTCTTCAACTGTGCTTTTCTTATGATATGAATTCTTATTCTTATTGTTTTCAGTTCGAACGCCGTCCAAAAGACTTCTGCGGCACTCTGTTCTATTTATGCCCAGAAATTGTTCAACGGAAGGAATACGGTAAGAAATGTTATTTATATTTAATGGATTTTTTATTTCTTTCTTTGATTGGTGAAATCAATGTACGGTTTACAGACGCTTACTGCGATTGGTGGGCGTTTGGAGTTGTATTATACCAAATTTTGATTGGAAAAACTCCAATGAACATTTACCTGGAAGAAATTATGACCATTAAAGATTTCCAGTCATTGCCGATAATCGAGAAACTCCAAATTAAGTATCAATTCAGAAGTGGTTAAGAAATAAGGTTAACAATGTTTAATATAAATAATTCTATTGCAGTTGCTGAAGAAGTGGAGTTGACGTATCCTTTTGATCTATCGGAGGATGCCAAACAAATAATCCAGGATTTGTTACAGAAAGTAAGTTTATAATGCATTTTATGTAACTGATTTTCTGATTTTTATACTATAAANGACTTAAGTCGTTTTCCTGGAACCAATTACTGACGTAAGGCGAGGTATACCTGTATATTTATTACTATTAGAAAGACATTTTGAGGATTCATTCTATCATATATTTTCCTATTGATACAATAATAGAAATATATTCTATCACTTAAAAAATTTTTAATATAAATAACTGCGCATATTTTAATAGTATGTGTGCAGGATTGACGAAAAACAAAATCACACTATTATTCCAAACAATTTTAGATAACTTTTTAAAATACTGTTTATTTTTAAACGATATTTCATACAGATTCATTACTGGAATCAAACTGCAAATCTTCCGACTTTGATTCCAACAATGGTTCAGCTGTTTCATCTTCCTCTTTAAGTAAATATCTACGCACAGGAATTCGAAGTGTATCCAGTCTAAATTTATCAGAACTTTTGTCACACTTCGCGTTCCTTAAAGTTTCATCCATATGCCTTCCTACTACGCTCTCCTTGAATAAAACTTTGTAAAGTTCGTCCATATAGGACGTGCTGTCTTTAGTACGTGCTCTTATCGACTGCTTTAGCTTCATCATATTCCGGTAAGAGTCAGTCATATTCGACTCATCCACAAGATTCTCTTCAAAGCAATCGGTGAAAGACGATGGTGACTCGTCTGTGGACTCCTCCTTCTCGTAATCACAAGTTATACGTTTATATTTCTTCTTGTTTCTGAACAAAGATTGTCTCAAATCCGGTATCGATGGTTTCTTTAAAGAGGATAGTAAATTGACCATTTTCGATTTGATTACTCTGTCTTTCTTCCTATTATCTGAATAAACATTTGAGTTGGTAGGATAGTCCGAAGTGGGAGTATCTTTCATATCCACTTTATTGCCGAGTTTTCCTTTGCTATCGTATACTTGTTCTGTCTTGTCATTTGTTAAGTAAATTACTCGAGCGTCATCTTTATTGCGAATGGGAACTTTGTCTTCGTTCATCAAGAGAGGTTTGTAAGTGTCGATAATATTTTCAAGTTGTGACCTCTTCAATTTTTCTCGATTGATGAGTGCCGATGTAACATTGCACACCCACATCTCCACACGCCGTTGGCAGAATCCGATAAATTTTGTTATTACGTAGACGAGGGCGCACGTTGTTAAAATTACTCCTTCGATTGCAACGACGTAGAACAACACACGAAGATAGATCTTTCCCCCAGTCCTGTAATTGGGACTGGTCCTGGAGCTTATTCGATTCTGAATTCTTAGTACTATTCATTACACGAAAATCGCCATTAACTTGTTTTTCATCTGTTGCTTTCTTTCTATTTCTTATTAACGCGTCCTGTGGCGAGTATAATTTCCGTGGATGATTTAAAAATTTCTTATAAATATTATCCATTTTATCATCTTTCGATTGAATATCTTTAATTAAAGGGTATTTTCTTGGACTCTTTTCATACAAAACTTTCACTTTCCATCGCTTCTTAATTTCGTTTAGTCTTTTCGTTTTACGCGATGTTTTTCTAATGAGATTCCATTCATTATTGTTTGGAGCAAAGGGCTCAGGGAAAATTTTCTTCCTTCTCAAGTAAAGTTTCGATAAAATTTCATTTTTCCACTCAGGTTCTTTTTCTAGACTTGGTTCGGGAGAAAAAACTTGACTCCTTTTATTGGAGTTTTCCGAAAGTTTCTCTGATCGAATCGGCACTTTGCCACTGTCTGATTCATCCGGTGGGTATGATTTGTCATATCCGGTTCGAAATATGCCACTGGCTTCAATTCCAGTTTGAAAAAATACGAATAAAATCATAAAAACGAAGAAATTCTTCATTGTAAATATTCGCTGCGAAATAGCATCAACAAGTAAACTCTCAACAATTATGAAAATTGTATTATTAAAACATAATAATCGAGCGAATAGTTTAATTGTACGAAATACAGATTTGTTTGTTTTTATCAATAAGATTCTATTTAATAATTGTGAAAATTGATCTAAACACTAAACGATGCTTTGTCTTGTACAATTAAGAACTACTACGGTATATTTTCTTTCGAAAAAAATGGTATTCTTTGATATAGCAAAGATAAAGAATTCTACACAATATTATTTCTTCCTACTTCATAAAATGGCATAAATTTAATTTTTATAATTAAAATACAGTCTTCGTGGGGCCACTCACCTGCANTTTTTTGAATATTTTTTTTAATATGTCGTGTAGTTTATTTTGATATATTACACGTTTTATATTATCTTAAACCATACAATCTTACATGCTTTATAATTAATGTGAACCGCAATCGTTGCTTTTACGAGACAAATGATTTTTAAAGCAATTTTAAATTTTTAACTGAATCACTTCACCAATAGTTAATTACGTTAATCGCGCATTGAATTCCGGTTTTCAGTAACTGATTTAATTACATTCTAATCATCGATGACAAGAAATTTAATTAAAAAGTTATCGACGTATCACACCTTACTTGTTTGTTTCGTTGCAATTTCTCTGATATTGTTTACAAAGACGAAAGTATGGTAATTGAATCGGAAAGTTGCAACAAATATAATTATGTGACCGCAGGGTCGGCACCTCTTTGTTGCCTTGTCAGGACTGACACCACCGTGTCTTTTCGGACAGACACAAAAACCTAGTTGGTCGCAAATTTCGTTGAACGAGCGGTCGCGCTTGTAGGCTTCCAGATTCGGAATGGAAGCAGAAGGAGACTACCGGAAGAAGTACACACCACAGATTAACATTTAACAAAAAATACTCGTTTATAGGTAGCTATTATTTACATTCTAGACGCTTAGCACAATGGCTACAAAAATTATTATAGATGCTTAGCCCGATTGCTAAAAAGACAGGGATGAACCTATCGCGACCCTGACCGGGAGAGAGAGCTCGCAGTAAGTGCGCGAGATAATAAATACCTTAAAATACTCGTAAGTCCTAGACGTATCGATGCGACGTAGATGTGAAAGTACGGCAACTCAGTTCGGAGAGCAATTCCTTTTTGTTTTTCTTGGGCGGCGGTGAGCGACGACGGCTGGAACGGCGGGTCGGAACACATACACACACACACTTTAGAAAAGGTGAAGACGACTGCTCCTGGTTGTCATCACCCCTCCCTTTTATTAAGAAGCTTCTTCTGGGTTTTTCCCATGACTTGATAAAGATTTTTAGTATTTTAGGTCCAATATTCAAATGTTGACTCGTTGGTTTCGGGTGACATATTCAATGTGTCACCTACAATAAGGAAGTAAGTCCGTGAGAAACAGGTTTTATCATCTGTTGGATGATTTTTCTCTCGAAAAATTTGTTTAAATAAATTTTTTCGTCAGGCCCGGGCTGACAATTAACTATTATTATTGTTGACCATTTCAGAATCCTGAGGAACGTCTTACAGAAGAAAACATCAAAAATCACAAATTTTTCGATGATGTGTCGTGGCCTATAATGCCAGAAAATTAAATTATTATTTAAGAGATGCACAGAAATGTTCGAATGGATTATTTCTGTCCTTTTATTTTAATTTTAAATATACACAAATGTTTTCGTTTAATTTCATACTTTATTCGTTATAAATAAAGCTCAATTAATTACTAATTGTTTCCGCACATTTTGATTATGTTACTGGTCTGACTTTTATATGAACCCCGGGTTAAATACATTATTATAAATGATATGTAATTAGGAATCACTCAGTGGCACGCTGTTCATGGAAGCTGTGGAAATGCCGCTTCCCTCGTTTTATTTTAAATATAAACACATATTGTGCAGTTATTCTCAATTTTTTCTTCGTCACGGTGCACTTTTAATAATTTAAAAATTTGGCTTCACACACGGTTACTTTGGTAAGTATCGCAGAACAACCAGTGACGTCATAACAGTGATTTTTAAACGAAGTTGTTTATTTAGGTATTTTCTAAACGCTTCGGTAACTACCGGCAATTGCCCGTAACTCTGGTTACAATTTCCAAACGCGCTCTAGGAAGGTAAAACCGATTAAACTACTTGTCTGACGTTGCTTATGTATGGATATGTGCAGTGTTTGAGAATCACTGTATTGTGCGATTATTTTCATATTTTAGCGTACTTTTAATTACTTAAAATTAACACTTTATCATATCCGCATTATGTATTTTATTACAAATTTCTATACGTGTGAAAAATAACGATAAGATTGTATATTCGAATATAAATTCGTATATGCATATTCCTAANGTGTAAGTGAAAAGCGTGATTTTTCGCCCATTCTGAATCTTTATTTTTGTTTATTTTAATTTAAGATACTTGTAAAAGGCCAACCTGGCCACAGTGTCTTTTTGAGAAATAAAAAAAATTTAAAAAAAAAATAACTTCTGTACCAGGAGCGCCTATACATTGGGTCACTTGAAGCGCGTGCCTCTTTTTCCTCTGAAAAAGTGGAAAGACAAATTTTTATGACAAACGGATACATAAATCGTAAATTTAAGGAAAATAAATTCTAGAGCTTTTTCTGTACCTCGTGCATCTCCCTTATTCATTAAATTTAGTTGTAAATGTGGCGTAGCGTAGTGGGGGCGGCAAAATTTCACAATAAATAATAATAATATCTTGTAAAAATTTGAACCATTCCATTTCATATTTTTGTCGCACCTACGATTCGGACCGATTGAAATGAGCTCGGAATTTTTCATTACTTATTCTGTGAAGAAACTGAATTTTAGTCTTTTAAATTGAGATACCTAAATAAGGGGGCGGCGAAATTTTCCTCCGCCCCGGGCGACTGACACCCACACTACGCCACTGATGCTACCAAAGTAACAATTAATTTTTTAACATTGTACAAAAATTGTACACGTTTTTTCTACATTCCCTTAAAGATGGGACATACGAAATCGTAATATCACTGGTTTAACACTGAAATCCGTAAGTAATATAAAATAGGAGAGCGGAATAAAAATATCTAATATTTTAATGGATTTTTTAAACTCCTGTCAACTATACAGAACTATCGTAAAAACATTACCCAACCGATGAGAATCTACTCGTGATTCACATAATCGGGCGAGGGCGGCCAAATATCTAGCGGGAAGGCGGTTAACAGCCCAGAACCGGTCTGGATAGAATTGGAAGCGTTATACATGTGTAGCTTTCACCCAAGGTCGTAGGCTTCCACCGGCTAAACCGGGTGAGGTTGGTGCTATGTAAAGTGCATGCGCGAATCTGACTGGAAGCTGACAATACAGCGCTTTCACTCCTCCACTAATATTCGAATATACAATAGCAATCTTATTTTTTTTCACATGTAGTATAGAAATTAATTATTGTAATAAGATACATAATGCGGTTATAATAAAATATTGTGCGATTATTTTCATATAATTNAACAAAAATGGTACCCTCAAGCAGCTTTATACCCGTAATCAGTTCGTAATTTGTAAAGAAAAGTTACTTTCCATAGATGAGATTTCTTCTCAAGAAATATCGCTGAGAGAAGCAGCTGCAGCTAATTCGAAAAGTGGAGGGCAAGGCTATACGCGCCTAGCTGAGGAGGGCAAGGCTATACACGCTTTCCATAGGCTTAGCTGTCAGAGCTGTTAGCTGTAAGATAGCTCATATTTAGCTTATATTTTGTTTGTATGCTGCAACGTGCATCTTTTTCAGTTATTTCTTTCAGTTGTTTTTCTTTGGCGGATGTTTGGCATTAAGTGGATACAGAGAAGAGGAGTCTTTGTCCATTTACACGTAAACCAGCTTTTGGTAAAAATTTTAAATTTATTAACTTGTATTAGTAATTTTGTGTATAGATTTTTTAATAAAAGTGTAGTGCTACACACTCTCCTGTTTATTGACAGGGTATTTTACTTAAAACATTATAGAGACTCTAGTTAACTGACTGTATTTAATAAGAATTTTGTTGTAGATTGGAAATTACAGCAATAGTAAATTTAAATATTATGTATTAAGTGTTTCACTTTTACTTATGACACAGGCACATAGTCTATGTACTGGAGTTGACAAAAAACAGAGAAATATATTTGTAATGGTTATAATAATTGAATGTGCCAAGGTAAAAATAAGGATAAAAATATTAGTATTCAAATAAATTACTTAAGAATTTAGGCTTAAGTACGCGGGTCGTGTGTTGGCCATGCCTGGTATAGTGTTAAATATTTTTCTTATTAGGAACGTAGAATATATACTGTGAAAAGATCCAGATTAAGCAGAAAAATCTCACACTACATAGACAAATACCTACTAAAATCTCTAGTCAAACTATATAAAATTTATTGATAGTATTAAATTATNATCGTCGCTATAAAAGACGACGGCAGAGGCAAAGAGAATTTTGGGTGCACCCAATATTACGAGATAGACTGACGCATGAAATGTTTGCGACGTTGTATCCAAAACTAAGACAAAATAAATTCAAGTTTTTTAATTCTTTTAGAATGTCTATAAAATCATTTGACGACTTACTCCATATTATAAAAGTAGATATTACCCAAAAGCGCGCGATCGAATATACAGCAAAATGACGGCGTAAATCTAGAAGCGCCCGTAAAGCGCCGGGAAAACGCGCGATCGCATGTACGGTAACATGGCAGCACATATATCTCAAAGCGCTCGGCTAACGCCCGAAAAACGCGCGTTTTAACAAAAATCTATCAACGCGCGTTTAACGCGCGCTTGGCCAAAAGTGCGTGTTTGAGTGTGTACGGCTACATAGAACTCTTGGTTCTTTAAAACGCGCGTTGAAAAACGCCTAGTGTGTACAGGCTCTTAGGTGAAAGACGAGACCAATGTGGAAACCTTAGGGACAGGAAGTCCCGATTAACTATATATGAACTTCTGACGCAAGCCAAAAATCACGTTATTTCAATTCAAAAATTTTCTTATGAAAGGCGTTTGATAGACAACAGGCACAACTCTATTGTTAAAGGAAAAGTATGATGTACGGAGAAAAGCTACTACTAATTTGAGGTGGAGAGCATATATTTTAAATTAGATAAATTAAAAATATGATTAAAACTTTCAGCCCAGCATTGTGATGATGTCACAATAAATAATTCCTTGCTATTTTAGGATTAGATAGTTCTTTGTGATCATTTGGTATAACAATATATTTGTTAAAATACAAGGGGAAAATCAACTTTTACCTTAACAAGACAAAATATTAATAAATTTTAAATGATATGTCATAGTTTTAATTTTTCTAATAATGAAATATTGAGTATTTTAAGAATTTTAAGTTATGTAGTTGTTAAAAAGCGGTGTATATGTTACCGGCCAAACCCGATTTCAGGCCAAACTAGTTTATCCTACGCGTGTCAGGATATACTAGTTTAGTCTAGGACAATCTAGTTTGGCCTAAATACTTTAGGCTTAACTAGTTTGACCTAGGCCAAACTGATTTAGAAGTATTATTTAAGTCAGGCCTGGCCAACTCAAATTGTTTCGCGGGCCACTTTGATCACGCGTAACATTACAATGGGCCACAATTTAGGTAAACATGCTTTTAGAAAAGTAAAACAAATACAAAATGAATAAGATTTCATTGTTATACCAAGAGTTCGTACTCGCACTTGCGCATTATAACAATGACACATGCAAATTTTCATTTAATTTTTTTGGTGTACACAAAACGGAAAACGAAAGTTTTAATAGATATATAATATCGCTTAGCGGGCCACACAATTTGCAAATCCGGGATGGCGTGAAGTGACGTTTATAAAGTGGAAGAATGGATGAAGAATTGTGTACAGTTGTTAAAAGTGTAGAATATCTCCCCTTCCCTTCTACCTGTGTTCAACGTAACGATGAATGGTTGAACCAATATTTAATACATTACCGTGCCATTTTTAACATGTTAGGATGGATCGGAGCTAAACTTCTTCACAAACTACAAAATGAGATTTTAATGCGTTCGGTAAAGGTACTAATTGACTTCTAGCTGTCTCGCGACAACATTTAACTTCTTACAAAATGTCTTTTACTTCTACAGACTTATAGACAGATGGGTAGTGTAAGTCGCGTAGAAAACCGGAAAAATGGGCTGATCGGGAGGTAGAAAATAAAAAAGCTGAATTTAAATGAAAAGCGATGCAGCGGGAGAAATCGACCCGTATTAAGGCAACCAACAAGGCTAATTGTGGTACAATTTCGTACACGCTACAAGCTTAAATTCAGCAATAAAATTTATACTTTAATGCCTTATCGGAAGGTGTAATTTTCGTTATGCCTGTATACTTTCAACGCGCTTCAAGTAAGTGAAATCATCTTAATCAAGTCTTGTCAATTTGAAGATCTCGCGCCTTTATTAATTATATTTAAATAAAATTTAAACGTGTAAAGTTTAGAATTTAACTGAAGAAACGCAGTACAAATCGTTATAAAAACCGAATACACTGGAAAACTCAATAAATAAACTCCCGAAAGTGCTAAAATAAACGTCTTTATCAACTGGTGTGAAGTTTAGTTCGAGCAAAACCTCGATATTGTGTGTGTTCAACTGATGGCGCTCAGCATCTTCTTCACTTCATTAATCGGTATAAAGTACAGGAAAATAAAAACATCTATTGTCTCGAACAGCGAACTAGGGTTGTTAGAAAAGGCAACTGTGATTAGCATGTTAGCCCCTACCTTCACACGCATTGTCTTATGTTGTGAAGCGCTTTTCTTTTGCATGATAAAACAGCTAATCAGCACCACCTCACGTTGTCAGTAATTAGCAGAACAGCAGGGAGAGGAAAGAGAAGACTCCCCTCGCAGGGGTAAAAAAAGAGAGCCTACAGCTTTACCTTTGCAGTCACCTTGCGATAATTTGTTACAACTTATCTCCAGATGGCAATAGACCCGAGGAAGGGGTCATTAGTTAACCCCAAGAAGGGTGAAAGAAGGGAAAAAATTGCAGGGGGGAGCTTCACACCCTAGAGAGGATCCACGGCAAAGAAAACGTGTTGTGTACACACCCGACCCGAAAAATCATTAGGAATGTCCCCTGTGGTGGTGTAGCTTTGCTGCACATTGCCGATTACTGGTGGTGCTGCCGTCATTGAGCAGCGAGAGCCGGGAGCGTACTTTCTACGATCTACACACGTTTCTAGTTTACATAAGGCATTGCCACTTATCTCAACCCCGGC